TTTAATATGCGACGATGCCTGATTTGTGGCCACCATTCTTCTACCTGTTGCTGAATGCTATTACGCAAGAGCGAATCTCACCTGTGTGGTGTATTGGTGCAGTCTATTGGAAAGCGGTAGTATTGCACAAGTATAAAGGAAGGAAAACGTCTCCGTTTAAAAATACGTCTGGCGACAATTATCGACAATCAAATTCGTCGGTGACTATTTTTATTGTCGATTTTTGTCAACAATGTCGAATAATCGTTGCACCCCTAATTAAGTAGACACCAATTATCGTAGAACACAGCTCTCCCACCAAGCAAAGGCAGAATGGCTGCACACCTGACGAAATTTCATATCCAATTTAATAACTGAAGACAACTCAGGCAAGAGTTAGACATGTAAAGAGCACAGCATGGGTGCTACAGTGACTTTTCATAGGTTTTCCATAGTTTTTCTTTTCAGGCCCTTTTGAAAAAGTTACCATGATGATAGGAATGCGTGCGATTTCAAAAGTGGCTGTGTCACTTACCAGACAGTTCCTCACATTTTGCATGGACCCAGTGGTTACAGGACGCACACTGCATCATCTGACTGTCATAATCATTATCTTCATAGCACTTGTTACAGATGGGACAGTAGTTACCTGGAGGAAAACAAATCATTCTGCAGAGAACTAAGAAAGCAGGGGCAGCCAGTCCAGGGTGCAACTGAGGTTAAGGGCCTAAAATTTACCTCAGGAACTTAAACAGCTGGGGAACCAAAAAGACTAAAGGATACATATAAATGAGATAACTGTGCATTTTCCCCCCCATTCTGCCAAGCCCATTTCCTGGTAATGCTTCCCAGATACGCAAACAAAAATCACATGTTTACAGTGCCCAAGTATTAACTGATTAATTAAATGATTTTCCCAAAATCATTTTCAAACACATTTATGGAAATCTTATGCAGGGATACGGATAACCTGGCTGATTCAAGGGGGGCCAGCACTGAATATGTACGAACTGATCTTAAGTTTATAGATTGAAGCTAACATTTGTGTAGCATACTTGGGAACAAGCCCAACGAGAGCATATTGCTTTAGCATGCATAAAAGGAAACGGAAAATGAGCAATAAAAATAACCCCTGCTTCATCAGACTGCAAACATTATGAAATGAGTCACTGCAGCAGAAAAAACGTTAACTTATGTGGTGAACTGCCAGTAAAATGCAAATCTAAAAACAGAAAACAAGCACCAAGATCTCAAACATTTGAAGAACTTTCTGCTAATGTTTTAAACAAATATGTGTACCTACATTTAAAAAACACAAACTTGAAATTCAAGTTATTCTTCATTTATTCCTGTAATAACACATAGAACTGTAATAGTACTCTTAGCACAAAGCACAAATGACATGCAATGTTGATATGAACACACAATAGCAATGATTTAAATGACTGATTTAAATGAACACCTCCCAAAATGGAATAAATATAAATGATGTGGACAGGCTAAAACTGAAAGATACGAAGCCCTCTTGTCAACACAATCTTGCAGGCCCTGTGTGCTCACCTTGGTCATAGAGTTTGGTGCAATCAGGACAAAGACCCTTATCATGGTTCCATTCTGTGTCCCAACTTTTTCCTGGAGTCACACCACAGCTTTTACATCTGATACATGTCATGCACACCTGCAATTGAAAGGAACGGACAAAAGAAACATGCAGATACAGAACTGCAGATGCATACCCAAAATTAAATTCTGAATAAACAGGTATCTGCTCACCCATGATTTTTTGCAAGATTTCTTGTTAGGTTTTGGGTAGTTGGGTCCCAAGCAGGGTGGATGATAACAATTCTGACATCGCTCGCACTCCAAAAGTGGCTTAAAAACAAATCCAACCGAAGTTAAGGTCCATATACACACCAGCTGATCACATCTTTTGCAGAGTTTGGTGCATCCAAGCCCTCTGTACCTTAGAATGCTTTCCCTTGTGGCCACAAACATGGCAGAATCTGCAGCGGCGACAGCACCAGTTCTCCTTGTTTTCTTCTAGGGGGCGCTCCCAGGGCTCCAAGCAGAAGGGATGGAATGGCTCACAGCAAACCTGACAGTACACCATCTGAAGGATGCACATTTTAGCCTTATTCCCCTGAATAACAATCACTGTGTTAACATTGTAAAGTAAAGAATGCTGTGAGAACAACATTCACCATACCCCACTCCCATCTAAATCCTACTCCTCTCACACCCGGTTAAAAAATTTGAAGGAGATCAGGCTAACAGAATTAAGTGTCAAAACTGCCCTTTCTTCACTATGGGCATTACTTTTGGTGTGACTGCTCTGAAAATTTCATCAGTTTCAGTTGTTCACCCATACAATGTGTGTGCAAAGTTTGAAAAAGATTGATTGAATTTTTTCCCCTAATTATTGTGCCAACAAGAAAGTGTCTATTGCCAAAATCACAAAAACAATGTCACTTATCCATTACAGGGCTTACAAAATCGGCAGCCCGACAACCGGTACTATTAAGTTCTCCCATTGGGCTACCAAAATGCAACACTAACCTGCCCAATGGAATACCTGAAATTATGCTCTGTGTGAAATCAAATTCACTTCTTTATTCTGATTTGCTATTTGAATGAGAGAAAAAAACACGATCATGGAACAAACAGGTGTTTTATCATGATTTGTCCAGAGACATGTACGCCTGTGCATATGTGTAATAAGTTGACTTCTCCTCTCTTCTCTCTATCATATGATGTTTGGCAAACAATTAATGCATTGTTGCCAGCCCCTGTAAAGGGGTGTAGTTCTCACTTCATTTAGTCAACTAGATCAAAGATCTGGCTTTTTCTTACCTTCAATTCTCTATGGATATTATAGTACAGAAAGTTTATGTTTCGTTAAAATGTTTTTACTGTCATGGGAAGAAAAATTGGCTTTGCAATTTTAATGGTTATTCCTTTTCAAGATTATCGAGATTAAAAACGGTGGTTGTATTGTGTTTCAGCGGCAGGTAGAGCTGGCCGATATGGCCTAAAAATAAAATCTCCGATTATTTCACAATAAATCCGATTTTCTATTTTAATTGATTTTCCCCTCCTCTACTCAAAATCAAACTACAGATGACAAATAAATGGTTCAAAACAAGTTTTAACTTTATTTTGTTTTTTTTTTTGTTTTTTTACTTTAGGGTTAAAGTGCAATCAGACAAGCCAAAAAAGATGCTTGTGAGTTGGCAGACCACACCATTGTAAACACTTTTATAAACTTGTAAAAACTTTTAGCATGTTAATGAATCCCAGCTTTTCCACAGTATGTATGTGCACCATGTCTTTTGCAATATACATCGCGACAGCATTTGTTATCGCCTTCCACCGTGCCCCATTCTTATATGGCACACAGTTCGAAAATGTGCCAGGGACGGTTGCTTGCTTAACTTTGGATGTTGTGCTGGTGCTGGGGCTATTTTCATTTCGCTGGGAGATGCACTTCTCCCACTCTGCTGCGTGCCTCTGCTTTAGGTGCTGGAATAAATTTGTCATGTTGCTTCCTTTGGTTGCAACAGTTTTTAAACAGACTGCAACGAGGACTTGTTTGGTCTGTGTCTGACGGCAAAAAACCGAACCAATTCCATATTACCTATGTAGCAACACCTTTCTTGGGCACAAGCTCCAGCTTTTTCCCTGTCGTTGCCATGTTGGTTTGTGAATCTGCTGCAGTGTTTGGGTGCGCCGCGCTAATTTACCCGTGAAGAACAGTGCATTGCATGAGATCCGCTTTTGGCGCTCATGTGTAAAATTATAAAATTGTTTCATGAAAAGACATCGCCCTGAACTCTAAATTCGAATTAATCGATAAAATCGATGCATCGCCCACCTCGAATCGAAAAGAAAGCTGTTCAAGTCCCACCCCAAAGTATTTTGTTGTAATAAAACATTAAAGTTAAAATCTTCTTGGGCTACCAAAACCTGAAGGCTGCCTGGTCAAAGGGCTACAAGGGATTTTGAAATTTTGCAAGCCCTGCATTATAAAGGTTGACTGTTCTGTGGTTTTCTAAGTACATTACATTTATTGCTCATGAACTCATGCCGGCCTCCAGTCTGGAGTTAAATACTGCAATCTGGTCTCCATTCAGAAAACTTGAATGTTACCTCATGCTGCCCTTTGCTGGCACAGAGCAGACAGACATGTGGAGGGACAACTGGGACTGAGGTTAGGATGCTGAGACCTCCCAGCTTCCAGACATTCTGAAGGTTACAGTCCTCCTGCAGCCAGGAAAAACAGTAGGAACAGAAATCAGACACTGGTGAAGGATAACATTTAGTACGCATATAACAAACATGGACAACAAGGTGTTTGAAGGGGCAAATTTTCATAATCAGCTGAGTGTGTCAGATCGGCTGCAAACAAATTTCTAGGTGGGGGGGTATTCAAAATCCATTATGCATCTACACAGTTCTGTGCCTGACAAGCAGATGCATAAGTATGATAAACTATGTGGGGATAAAATCCTACAATAATTCAAACGTCTAGCTCATGCAGCCCCCATACATATTTTGGTTAACCCTTAGGAGTCTGAGGCCTCTCAGGCATTTTTCGAGGTAGTCTGACATGCCTTGACATTTTAAAATATTTCACCTATCTAAAAAACATTTATCCCAATGTGTTACATGTGCTTTTATTCAGCACAAACTCAGCACCAATAATAAAACAATAAAAATCACATTATAAACTATGGGTGCAACTAACAATTATTTTGGTAATCGATCTTTCTTCTTCTTCGCTTAATCGGGGGGGCGGCTAAAACCAATTCAATTTCCAGCATTTTTTGATAACCCAAACTGTCTTTGTACAAAGGTTGTTTCCTGCAACTGACATAAAGAAATAAATGTATGCTACATTAAGAGTACAAAAAATTAATTGTAGAAGCTAAATCAATGTAATGAAAAACACAAAATCTTTTTTTATGAAGTGCAACCAGCATGGCGCTTTAGATAATGTATTCAGTACTCCAGTTTTTTAATGTAAAACCACAGACTACCGCTGCTGCTAGTAATATTATTAAATAATTCTGTTATGTTACTTAATGTTGATACACATATGTGACGCGGGAGGGGAGAGCACGCAAGCGAGTGTGTCTGCATTTATTATGGACAAACAAAGTAAACATTTATTGCGGAGAAAAAAGGCTTTTCCGCATTTTATGCTAAAAATGCACCGGTTTGCACTCTCGTGAAACACCATAGACTTTAGAAGAACCATAGAATGGCGCAAATAAGACGATTGGTGAGGAAAAACCCGTGAATGGCAAATTCGTTTTAAAACGTGTTTGGTTGTGTGCGCATACTACAGTGATGAACTGTAAATAAGATAAATAGAAAAAGTTTAATAAAACGACAAGATAGACCTGTTGTATTGGAAAGGTAGTCTTAAATGACTTCTGGTGTGAATTGGCGCTATATAGAAAATAAAATTAAATAAAATTAACTTGGGGCGCCCTCCTACTACAATGGTATGGTAAACACTTTGTGGTATATGTAGTCACATTTGATAATAGCCGATTGCGTTGACATCTTTCCCAGACAACCATGACTTCACCTGTGTTCATGTGCGTGTGTGAAGGGGCGGGGTGGAAGTAACTTCATTGGTTGTACTTGAAGTGAGAAGTTATCCAATCTGACAGTAAACGGCTCATTAATAGGAATATTCTCAGAGTTGTGGTCTCGGCTGGTCTCAAAATAAAAGTACATGACAAGATCCAGTACAAATATGGATGATTCAAAGACAAGATCGAGACCTTCAAAAACTGGTCTTGAGTACTACAACATTTGATATTACTATAAATTTCTTGAAGAAATTTCATGAAGAAATGAAGCAGTGGTGTAGTGTAACAAGAAATTTAAGGTGGGTAAACTATATGCACAGCAGTAAAAACGGTGATTAGTGATCTCAAAAAAGGTGAGTAAACGCTCTTTTGTAAATTTAAAAGGTGCGTAAACAGCGTTTATATGCATTTACCCTCCACTACACCACTGAATGAAGGATTTGCGTTAATTAATCTGAATGATTGAATAAAATAATCCAAAAACTCCACGTCACATAATAGTGTCTCTCCGACCTAATTTCAGCTAATTGTCGTCAAATACTATCGTTTCTGGCAGAATTAAAACAGGACTCTTGTGTCTGCCTCTTTTCAAACGTTTTTCCCCCCAATTCTTCCAGAATTCATCACGTAAACTACTCAAGGCACGGCATCCGTCCTTGTCTCCTTTGTCTTTTATGGCGGTCAACATCCAGCTTAATGGTGCTTTACTGCCACCGCGGCTTTACTTAGCTTACTGCACCCAAATTAGGGGGTAGCCACTGTATTTATGTGTATGATAACGTAGTCCCAACTAATCGATTATTAAATTAGGGCGCTTTTCCTCCGCACAAAGTACGGTACTTTCGCTTTTCCATTGACTTCCGGTCGAGTACCAGTACCGAAATCTTGAGTACCGAAAGTGCCAAACCAGTTGGGGTACTCCGTTGGTACTTCGGTACTTTGGGGTGGGACTTGCAAACGTATTTGCTGTCGATTGGTTATGCAAATAGCCTGCCGCTGAAACACAAAATACAACCAACATCTTTTGAAACACACAGCGAACAGAGCGATCACAGCAAGAAACAAAATAAAAAGCAGTAGAAACAAAAATATAAAAAAGTCAAATGGAAGGATGGACAAACGAGGAAACACAGGCTTTAATCGCCATATGGTCGGATGAACAGATCCAGTGGGATGTGGATGGCACGACTCGAAATAAAAAAGTTTTTGCCGTTCCCGGCAATTCAGTTTCCCTATGTTTCCCCTGTTGCGCGCTGATTTGTACACAGTTTAGCTGTTGTTTTCATGTCTTTTTACTAAGCTCTTGAGGTAAACAGGCTATATATTAATTTTAAAACATCACATCCCTTTTCTATGTTTTTTATTTTTACAGATAATAAATGAAATTACTTAATTCTCTAGATAGAGATATTTCTTGATGAAAACGGTATAGTATTGCTTATAAGACTATATTATGCATGACGATCTACTGTATTCACATGTAATAATGTACCTGAGTGATTTTCAGACATTTCACATACCTCTTTGCTTTAATATTAGGGGAAACATTATTTCCTGATAGACAGGAGAAACATAAGGAAACTGAATTCCGTGGAACACCGTAATACCAAGCCGCTTGGAAGAAATGGGGCACACGCGAAACACCGAACAATGCCGCTTGAAAATCAAAAAACATAATTAAATAATTTGTTTGCTTTCAAAAGACTGAATTAGCAGTAAGTTAATTCTTACTGCTTTGATCGGCTTAGCCAAAGTAAGTGTACCTACGTAAATGTAATTGATGGCAGCATGATTAGGATTTTACTAAATCTTATACTGTGATAGAAGCTGTCATAACAATAAACCGCATTTTCCAGCCTCAACTGTTAGTTTTAATTTTGTGCTGTCAGTCAGGGGCGGTCACTGATGATGTCATTTGCCA